CAAGGTTAATTTGGCTGATCTGGCAGGCTAGGCAGATGTCACCTTCCTCCCTCACCATTCCATATGCATGCCTCCTGAAGCGGTGCACTTGGTCAAAGAGGACAATCTTGCCCAAGAGAGGAGGACCACTCTTCCAACAAAGGTATACAAGTAGCTGTGCTCCCCTGAGAGAACTTTCAAACAAGCTCTCCATCAGTCCATTTCTCTTAATAATAACTCAACAAGCATTAAAAGTATTGTATTGTTAAATATTAGTAAAATTTAAGGCTATAATCCCACATCCCAAAGAAAAAAATTGATTAATATTTTGGTGCTTCTTTTCCCAGGAGTATTTCCCATAATTGTATAGATTGATTTACAAAAGTGTAGTAGTTAGTCTCTTCGGACTGTCATATTTAGATTGTTTTGGGCCTCCTAAGATTCTAAATGTTTGACCCTAAATAGCAAACAAAGCAAAACAAAATAAAAATGTGGTTGCAATACATCATATAAAAAGTGGGTTTTCTTAAAGAAAAAAATGTTGACCTCTTCCATTGGTCTTAATTTTATCAGGAAAGTGTCCTGTGGAATATATATAACTGAAGGTAATCAATAGATTTACAAATGATGAACAGAGGTTTTTCCTTCTCATAAACAATACTAAGGAAGCAGTGTAACCCAGTGGGGTTCAACATGTAAACTATGGAGTCAAGTTGTCAGCATTTGAAATGTTTACTTTACTCCTTAGTAGCTAAATGATTCATAGCAAATTACTCAATCTCCTTATGCCTCAGTTTCCTCACCTGAAAAATGGGTGCAAGAATAAAATCTGTGCCTTTGGTTTTTGTGAAGACTAAATCAGTCAGTACATTTAAACTCTTAGAACAGCATCTGGCACACTGTCAGAGTTCAATATATATCTCACTGGCTGAAAAACTAAAATAGACTTTAGTATCCCCTTTAGTAGCTACTTAATTTATTTGAAAGAAATCAAGAAGGTAGAAATATACCAACAATACATGACTCATTTCCAGAAAGAATCTGTATGATCTGGACAAATTAATCCCAAGAGAAATGACAGGTTCTCTCATTCATTTAATTCATTCATCAAACTTTATTGGAGTTTACTATGCATCAGGTATTGAGCCAGATATCAGAATATAAAATAAAAGAATGTCTATCT